ACTGAATTTTAGTCTCTCAACTTTCAAAAATCATAAAATGAAATTTATAAAACAAATAATTTTATTCTAAAATTTTCGGAGTGCTACACTCGCCTTTGGACAGCTGCATATGAAAACTGAATGAAGTGGTGAGGTGTTCGTCTGATGAATCAGCTCGCTTAGTGTTGGAACTTGTTCAAGTCATCATGACAGAGCTTCACAAGACTCTTGAGGCTCAAAAACTTTCTTCTGACGAGAGAGAGAAGCAGAGTGAAATACAGGGCCTTCTTTGTGGTTGCTTACAAGTCCTTATTCAGAAATTAGGGGCATCAGAACCCACCAAGTATGCCTTCATGCAGTATGCAGATCAGATTATGAATCTTTTTCTCAGGGTTTTTGATTGTAGAAGTGCCACTGTCCACGAGGAAGCAATGCTTGGTATTGGTGCACATAATATTGAATTACACAACAGGCCCAAACTTTGTGAAGTACATGCAAGCTTTTTACAAGTACTTGGAGATGGGTCTTCAGAATTTCGAGGAGTACCAAGTTTGTGCTGTTACTGTTGGTGTTGTGGGGGATATATGTCGGGCATTAGAAGATAAGATTCTGCCTTACTGTGATAAGATAATGACACAGCTTCTTAAAGACTTGTCAAGCAATCAGTTGCACCGATCTGTGAAGCCCCCAATCTTTTCGTGCTTTGGTGATATAGCACTGACAGTTGGAGAAAATTTTGATCAGTACTTGATGTTTGCCATGCCTATGCTCCCGAGTGCAGCAGAGTTGTCTGCCCACACATCAGGAGCTGACAATGAGATGATAGAATATACTAATCTTCTGAGGAATGGAATTTTGGAGGCTTATTCTGGTATATTTCAGGGCTTCAAGAATTCAACCAAAACTCAGCTTCTGATCCCACATGCACCACACGTTCTGCAATTTCTGGATAGCATTTACATGGAGAAAGATATGTGAGTATACACTAATTTATAATTTTCGCAGTTCTCATTCTTGATTTGATCTGTTGGGCTGTTTATCATCTGATTCTTTTATTTATTCAATGTCAGGGATGATGTCGTAATGAAAACTGCTATTGGTGTCCTGGGCGACTTAGCAGATACTCTGGGAAGTAATGCAGGTTCTTTGTTTCGGCAATATTTGTCGAGCAGAGACTTTTTAAGTGAATGCTTATCTTCGGAGGACCATTTGATAAAGGAATATGCTGAGTGGGCCAGGTTGGCCATTGGTCGTGCCATTTCTGTTTGAGGCTGTGTCCGCTCGGTACATATTATTTTATCTGCATGCATATGGTCGTGTCAAGTTGGGGTCTGGGATTGCATTCAACATGTCAGGTCATTTCTATTTTCTGACAACAGAAGTGCATTATCTATCTGCTTGTCACTTACTCATGCATCAGCATTATGGGTCAGGGTTGTTCCATTCAAGGGAGTCGGTGATGGTGGCTTCTCGTAACTTTCTGAAAGAACGGAGAAGTGAAAGTGTCGAGTCAGGAGTGAAAGGCGGTGGTAATAATGATGAATGAAAAAATTCCTGCTGTATGCATTTTCTGTGGTCGATCCAGGTGGTGTTAAAAGATGTGCTAAATATAGTCCTGGTATTGCCATGTACATGTGGTTACTGGTGGATTGTACCTATGCAGCGTTTTGGTTTGGACGACATTTTGAGTCTGCCAGCCAGTCAGACACCCGTGTTTTCTTCCATATTTTTAGTTTTCTTTCTCATTAAACATCATTTCTATATATTCAGTTCAGTCCGTGTTTTGCATTGGTCAGATTGCATCTCATTTAATCATTTGGGAGTAGTTTTATACACGTGTTGGAGCAATGCATTTTTGTCATCTGGGCTTCAACATTTTTGGTTATTCATAGGCGAGTGATAGGTCTAGCATCTAAATACATTCATCCATGAAATCCTGCGTGCTGCTCTTTTTGCACTATTAAAATGCCAATTTGTATTGTTGCAGTGGACTGACATCTAATTTTTAGCTTTTTAGTCAATCATTGTTAAACACTTTTCTGTGAATGCATAGTCATGAGTAAAAAGTTTGATTAATCACCGAACTTAGCACAATATCACGTTGTGGTCACTGAACTTCATTTTACTTCTCAACGGTCACTGAACTTACAGACGTGCCACTCCATCCACCACCCACCATCTCAGCCGTTTGAAACCGTCTGATGTGTCTTGAGGCATCCCACTTGGCAGTCGACGCCGTGAAGTCTGCCATGTTGGACGTGATTCTAATCTGAAAAACACAACCATTGTTGATGAAATTGAAATCCCTAACACCTTCCCTCCCCCAATTCGAACAAGAACCCTCCAAATCGATTTCCTTCAAAACTTGCCCCAAATCGATTTCTTTAGCCTACCCTCCCCCAAATCGATTTCTTCAAAACCCTCCCCCAAATGCGATTGGCAGATCTTCGCATCCTTCACAGCTGTTAAGTCGAAGGCGTGAACCCTACTCCCCATTTACAGCAACCCATAAACTTCGAACCCAAATCCCCGTATCCTGAACCCGTCAAAATGCGAAGGAGGAAACCACAGAAGCCAAACTAATTCCGCAGTAATGTCCTATTTTCCCAACCTGTTAACTTAGATGTTTGAACACATAGTTGTCATTATTTGTTTAAATATATGTAGTTGCTTTTTGTAAATGGAAAAACTCAACTTGTTCCTGAAACAAGGTTGGGAAGATGTAGTTGATTCAAGAATATATGTGTGATAACTGATAACCTTCTTGAAAATGCACGTACAGTACTGTGGAAAATAAACCAGAATATGTGTGATGCATAGAGCCCTATTAACAGAAGTACATATACATGTTGCATCTTAACAGAAGTAAATTGAACATGAAGTAACCAGAATACGATTTTCTGTGCATGTATTTTGGTAGTATTTGGATTAACTTATTTGTAGTTTGATTATGACTGTGGACTCCTATCCCACATTTGAAGCGTGATGGTCGGGAAGAATAGGGGCATATGTCATAGTTGTAGGAAGCCCGGACACAATTTGTCGGATTGTCCAACAAAGAAAAGATGCCCGAAATGTGGCAAGGGGTTTGAGAAATGTATGGAGGTGGAGAAAAATACTTCAATCATCGGGAGATTGTTCTTATATTGTACTAGGGATTGTGGTCACTTCGAGTGGAAGGATGAAGAGAAGTCTACTGTGAAATTGAGCTATGTTTGTTCGGATGATTGTAAAGCTAAATATCCGTGCCAAGTCCTGTCGTGCATGCTCAACACATGTGCTCAAATAACTGAATAAAAGACAGAGAGATATCCATCAAATTACCATGCGCAAATGAAAGGGGGTTGTAGAGGATAATGGAAAAGGAAATGGGAAAGTTCAGTGAATTTGTTGCAACTGTGCGACCAAGTTGAAGACTTTTATTGCGTTTATGGTAAATTATGTATGTCGTAAGAATTGGATGTTAGACTTTGACGTAAGACTTTTATGTAGTCGTTTTCAATTTCATTATGAAATTGTTTGGATTTGTTGAAATTCGTTATAAAAGTTCGTTTGGCGGCGGAAGTTTATTTCTTGACATCACCATTTTAACAGGATGTTTATGAGACAAGTAATGTGGCCATCACTAGGGGAAAAAAATGAATCACATAGAAGGCTCCTTACAACATTTTTCCATCGTAAGCATAACAAAATGAAAACAATTCTCAGCTCGTTTCATTACAAAAAAAAAAAAAAAACCATCTAGCAATGTCAGTACTTCTTGCTAGGTCTCATCTTCCACTATCCATGTGAGTTTGTCTACCAACCATGGGGGTTGGAATGAAACGCATGGGCTATTCATAATTTGGCGGAGGTTGGGACGATGACAATCCCTGACCTCTTGATGACACTATTTTACCCTGTTTGCATAACAAAATCCAATGTTTATAATAAATTACTGATGGAGTGAATTAAAAAAATGAATATCATATTTACTCACATGTTCGTTTACTGGTACGTTTGTATTTGGCTCAAGTGCTTCTAATTCAGCATTGAACCATTCATGTGCGAAAGTAAATAAGTTAGCATACGAAGAAGAGATTATCTTATATTGATAGAGTGGAAAACATACTTGATCTGGGGTACTATCGCTGGAGTGATATATTTTATTGTGCCCCTGCAATCTACATATCGAACACGTCATGAGCACTTGCCCTTTCTTCTTCATGTTTGACTTTCCCTGACTTTGCACTACCATTTCTTCAGCTTGTTTGCTTCTCTTTTTCTGCTTCTTTCCACGTTACGACACTTGCCACTTAGGCTGGATGATTCTAGGGGCATCCACATTAGGCCACAACAATTTACCGTTGATTGGGTTCATGATGTTATTGTAGCAGTTCATGTACGTCTCGATCATGTAACAATTGTCAACAAAATCCTCTAGTTCATTTCTACATTCTCGTATCAATACCACAACATGCATACACGGAATACCCGTAAGCTCCCATTTTTTGCATGCACGTGTACGTTCTTCGAGATCAACTACAAATGTGCTAAAACTGCAATCGATCTGCCACCTTGGACCCCTAGACAAGTGCAACGTGCATTCTTTTGACATCTCAGCGATCTTGTGCAGTCTTTTTGTTATCTTTGGATATAAACGACCTTGGCATCGACCCATTTTTTCTCGTCTCTGCTGTATCCGTTTCATGAATGTCATCTATACTGATATCAATATATTTAGAATTAATTTCTCCTTATCGTCCAACAATGTTTTATTGAATACTTCGCATATGTTGTTGAGCAGAATGTCGCACTTGGAGTGCACTGGAAAGTGTGATCGACTCCACTCTTGAGGGTATCTCTTCTTCAACCATCCATATGCATCTTCACTTACTTCACTAATTTTTTACATCCAATGTTTGAATTCGGGAACAGTTGTTGACTTGGCGGCAGGCCAAAGAAAATCCTTTAGTACTTTGCTCTTATGATCGGCGCTGAAGAAGTTTGTGTATATATGTCATACACAGAAGCGATGTTCTACCTCTGAGAATAACCCATCATACATTTTGAAGACCCTTTTGTCTGTTGGTCATCAATGTCCAACCCCTCCCATTGCCAATTTCAATGTCCTCTTGGAGGTACTTCATGAACCATCTCCAAGTATCTGTGTTATCCTTCTCAACATATCTCCGCAACATATCTCCTCAACAATCCGAATTGTTCTTCCATTGTTCCAAACAACAATTCCTTATCATACTACCTCATCTTATTTGCCACATTTCTACTTATCTCCATCTTCAAATCATCCTTCACAGTCGCCAAAATGGACTTTGTTTTCCAATCGGGGTCTGCTTTGAACCGTTCAACGTATCTATTTCTCAAGAATATATAGTTGCATTGTCTATTGTGTTGGCTCCGTGTGCATGTGTGTTCGGATGTTTAAGACTTCACTTGTACTGCCTCCGTCGTACTCAACTTTGAGGCCCATAGCCTCCAATTACACCTCAATTTGCAAACTCTTTGAGTCGTTTTCTATCATTACACTTTAACTTCACATTGTAACCATTGAGAGCACCATAGTTCTTCATTGTAGCCCGAAACTCTTCCATTGACCGAAAGAGTTGTCCAACCTCAAAATGCGGATTCTTCATATCCGTCTCAGCAAAGAATTATGGGAAGCAATAACCAACCTCTTTGTCTGATGAACAAGCCAAATACAACACCTGAGATGATGGGTACTCCATGTCATCGTCTCCTACCTCCCTTACACCCATCACTATTCCTTCGTTTCTTGCTTTATTCATGTCCGATCCAATTTCAATGCCATCTGTAACATTGTGGTCGTACAACAAATCATCTTCCTCGGAAGCCATGTCAACCTCGGAATGAATGAAATCTAGGTCTTTCTCATTATCTGTCAACAAAATGAAAACAATGGAATTATTTACTCATGGTGCATAAGTAATAATCTGTTCAATATCATTGACTCATCAAACATTAAGTTCATAAATGCCAATAACAGATGCAGTCTTGCAACACCTACATATTCATACATTCATAATCTCCCATATGCGTGCAATTTTCATGACATACATATAAACAGAGCAGCCATTGAAGAAGAGAAACGGGTAGTTTATGAGACAAGTAACACTTCAGAGTACAATGCATCAAGGCAAATCTAACTTCAGAGTACACTTCAGAGGCTACTTTTGAGTATGTGGGTTCAAAGTTTATGGGTTGAAAATCACCTGCAGCTGGGGATGGTGTTCATTTTGCGAAGACAAAGAACTTCTGGCATACAAATTTGTGTTCGTTCCAGGGATGTGGGTTCGAAGTTTATGGGTTGCTGTGAATGGGGAGTGGGGTTCACGCTTTTGACTTAACAACTGTGAACGGTGCAAAGATCTGCCAATCGCATTTGGGGAAAGGTTTTGAAGAAATCGATTTGGGGGGGTTCTTGTTCGAATTGGGGAAGGGAAGGTGTTAGGGATTTCAGTTTCATCAACAATGGTCGTGTTTTTCAGATTAGAATCGCGTCCAACATGGCAGACTTCACGCCGTCGACTTTCAAGTGGGCTGCCGTCAAGATAAATCAGACGGTTTCAAATGGCTGAGATGGTGGGTGGTAGATGGAAGGGTACATCTATAAGTTCAGTGACCGTTGAGAAGCAAAATGAAGCTCAGTGACCACAACGTGACATTGTGCTAAGTTTGGTGAGTAATCAAACTTTTTACTCGCATAGTCATTCATTGGTATGGCAGATTAGACTAGCTAATATCAAATAACAAAGAGCTATAATGTTTTTTTTTTTTTGGGTGGGTGGGAGGCAAAATTTCTTTATACCCATTTTCTTATCACATCAATCACCACATTTTTTATTTGTAAAGAAAATTTAATAGTACTGCTATTTGTAAGCACGGCTTATAAACAGAAGTTCGAGAAATTTGCCACGTTTTTCTATGAAACTAGAATGTATTTTAGTTCATTGAAGAGTGTGATAGTGACTTGCCGACGGATGAATAGCAATATTCAAAACTAAAATATGGACTCAAATTCACATTTCCACATGCGATGATATCCTCAAGTTTTTATTCTATAATTTGGACATTCAACTTAAAAGAAACTGTTGGTATCAATGGAACAAGGACTTTGCTATTTGTACACTGATTTTTTTACACTTTGATTGACACTTGTATTGTTGTCAAGTGTCAATTGGATGAAAAAATATTTGAAATTTAAAATGTCCAATTAGGTAATTTCACGTGGCAAAGTGTAAATCAAAGTGTATGCTAAAGTGTACATGTAGCGAGGTTCTTCACATGAAAATTCTATTTGTACATAATATTTTATGATGAATCCTTGTACTGGAAAGTACGAAAAAAGTAAATTATCTGAATATGTTTGGTTTTGAAAAGTTGCTTAAAAGTGACCCCTAGTCCCTACTTTTTAATCTTAGCCAAACATGTTCTTCTTTGCTGAGCTTGATAAAATTTATCTTTAGGATACCTGGTGCACATTTGAAATTCTGATTAGCAGCATAACCCAGAAGGAAAAAACTGGCCACCACCTTGACAGCCCATTACTTGTGGAAAGAAATCAGATAGTTGTTATACCACTAGTCAATTTTATGGTCACCCCATTGATTGTTGACCCCTCTGCTAATTATATAAAACTACTAGGTGACAAACTTGTTATTTATTTGTCTTTAACTTGAACTATTCCTTCTATTCTTCCAGTATTCTGCTTTTTGTAAGTGGGAATTCCCTCTTTTCAGTTATTCCAATGATTAGGTTTCATTTCAGATATGAACTTGATTTGCTTGACATTCAAATTTTGGATACCCAATAAACAGGTCAAGTATTAGAGGCCGGTGAAAAGAAAGCTGGATCATCACCCAATGAATCCTTCTCTTCTCATACTTCAGTCATAACTTTAGCAGCTCCAGATGAATTGAAGGGAAACGAAACAGGGGGGTTACATGAACTATCTTCGGGAAACACAGTTTTGAAAGAGCTGGACACTCAAGAAACAAATATTGCCTTGGATGGTGGGGACAGTAGTACAAGGAAAACATGTTTGTTGGATACTGATTCTAGTTCACATATGAGAGAGACTCTAGCTGAACCTATGACTGAAGCTGCCGAGGGGGACCCGTCTTGTTCCAGTTGTCCCTTGAAGAAGTACCCGGCTAGCGGAGGGATGACTTCAAATTCTATGGGCTCCAACACATTGGAATCAGCTATATTGGACTTGGAGGAACTTGTGAACAAAGTTAAATGGCTCAAGTCAATTTTAAATAACGGGATTCCTTCGTCAGATGCTGCAAGGCCTCAATGGAAAGTTATGGAACACGTTGCTTCCTCATCCATGCCAAATTAAGTGCTTTTGAAATGTAAGATTTCATGCCTCTAGTTTTAGAGTAATGCTATTTAGAACCAATAGTATTAAAATGCCAATTTAGGTGGCACTAATGTGGTATTAAATGAGAGGTATAATTAAATGAATCATTTAATTGCATCTCTCATTGAGTTTATCACATCACGTGCACCTAAACTGGTGTTGTAACACCACTGGTGCTAAATAACAATATTCTAATTATAAAGGATTATAGATACACTTCAAAAAATATGGAAACACACAATTATGATCCCATTCACAAGTCGTATAAAGTTGAAGTCACAATGACACAAATTGTAAGTCACATTTATAAATTAAGTAATCACACATTTTTAGATCATAAATTATCTATTTTATCGGTCATAATCACACAAATAATTGGTTACAAACGCTCATCATCACACCCACCTCACCTCATCTTAACCCACTCTACTCCACCACCACCGACTCTAACTGAATATCACGCCCTCTCACCACCACCACCCATATTCCCACCACTATTTGTAAGAACAATCACCACCATTTGCAAACCACCAACAAAAATTACCTTGCTAATTAGATCGGCGAAGGGAGAAACCACCCAAAAATCCCAAACACCATCGCCGCTACAAGTAGCGCCCAAAATCGCAAAATTGAAGCACAATGCTAACAGGTGTTGGTGACCGGAGACTTGAAGACAGAATGAGACATGTGAGAAGTTTTGTGACCTTTTCTTTTGATAGAAAATGAATTAATCATGCTTGATGTACAATTATAGATGACAATATTATTGACATGTTACGTGGTCATTGGATAATTTGAAAAACAATTTATTTTTATAACCAATAGTTTTTTGACAACTCATACATTGTCAAACACATTGTCATTCATGATTGTATAAATAGATTAATCCAAAATGAAGTAAGAGTTAAGAAGCAGGGTGGCTAGGGTGGAGATGGTATACTTGATTTTTGAAAGAATAAAATTGAAATTTTATTTTTGAAATGGTAAGTTAAAATGTAGGGATGTGTAATTTCCAACTTAAACAATAGTGGAAATTGGGTGAGATGGCCTCATTTAAAAGTTACTAGTTAACGTTAAACGTACATTGCACGTTATTGTGAAATATTTCATAAGTGATGTAAAAATAATATTTGAATATACGTTAATGTTAACTAATTCTGAATTAATACCATAAAATATATACATGACAATAGATGTTAAATAATTTATTTAGTTTCCAATTAAGTAAAACTGGTTGTTAATTAGCATACATGGATGTGAATAATGAAATGTATTATTGAATGTGACACTATAATTAACTTATAATTAAAATTAATAATATTAAATATATAAATAAAGATAAATATTAATTAAATGAATATAAATGTTAATTAATTAAGAATTAATAATAAGGAATTCATATATTAATGAAAGCAGACAGAAATAAATTTGTCAAATGTACACGCGGTAACTAAATGGTTAAATAAATTAAATATATATTTAAAAAAGTATGGTATTATTGAAATAATTAAATTACATTAGGGCTAAAATCGTCCAAAAAATAATTCTGACTTGTTGTGATATTGATATATTATAGATTTGTAAAAATAGCCTTTGACCAAAAATTTAGAATTAAAATAAGGGTAACTATAATGCCGCTACGTTATAATCACATCACAATTAAAATATATTTTCAATAAATGCACCACAACAAATTTGCAATTATACTAATAATACAATAAAAACTAAAAATGAAAAATAAAATATAATATTGTGGTGTACTCATCATCCCAATATGCTTCATCTTTATTTTATTTTTCTTACAATATGTTTTTCTCTTTCCACTTGTCATCTCCATCCGTGTTGATGCATTGCAAGCTTTTTATTATTCACCTCCATTAATTTAACTGCAACATATATGCTTAAGGTATACGTCCATTTACCCCCATTGATTAGTTTCCACAATTTTTTTAATAAGGCCCTTTTGAATTTTAATTCATTGACTTCAAATGCAGTAGGTTTGGAATGGAGTAAATACGCTTGGTGAGTAGTTTTGACTTATCAACGCATAGGAAATCTACAAATTTCTCCCTAGTTTTCTCCCAATATGAGTAAACATACTCTTATTGAAATTTGGATGTATCCCTGCAATCAAGTTTTGGATGTATCCCAGCAATCAAGTTTTGAAATTTTTAAATTCAAGTAATTGTTATTTGGCCCTTTAATGAATTCTCTTGTTCTGTATATGGTTTACTATATTAATTTAACTTCATTTATTGTTATATAATAGGTATACAAACATGTGATTACTCAAAAGTAATAAAAAAGGGTGTGATTCACTTGTGAGTACTAGTTTATTACCTTGATTCTTGATTACTATTTGTATTTAAATTCTTTATTACGCTGTTTGGTGGCCTTTATTTTTTTTTTAAAAAAAATTATATTTTGAATAGTATTTTTCTGGAGAATGTGTATTTAATGTTGGAAAAATTGATTTTAATTAGTTGGTTTGACCAATTATTTTAGTGGGTTCCGTTAGTTGGACAAGAGATTTCTTTGGCCTATTGTATTCTACTCTATGAGTAGATTAATGTAATGTATTTATTTTTTCAAAATCAATTTAGGGTGAATGAAAAATTACGGCCAAAAGATGACCACTTGAAGTTGAAATAAATTGAAAATAAAAATTTGTGGGAAATTAAGAAATGACAACCCCACATAAAAAACTAAAAGAATGGAAATCATTTTATATTGCTCAAGTTTTGGACTTAGGTTTGGACCCCAAGGGATACCAATAGTCTTTAAAGAGGAGAGAACCTACATGCTAGTAGGTTGAACCAAAGTACACACCTTGCGCCTGCGCTATCCGTGCAATCGGCTCGACTCGGCACGAGTCATGGGTCGTGATCTTGGGGTTTAGGCCAAGATGGTATATATTTTTTGGTAAAATAATATTTGAATTATTTTATTTTATTATTATTTAAAATAATAATATATTGATTTTCCCCGAATTCGTGGCTTCTTCAAGAAATTGGCGGTTGACAGTTAAACTGCATGTCCAAATGGGTTGTGTCTGTTGAAAACACAACTTTTCGGATGTTACATCTTTTGGACATAACTTTCCAACTTCTATATGAAGATCTCATACCCCTGATTTTATTCATTCCAAAATCAATTTTGATTTTTCTCTCTTGTAAATTATATTCCTTTATCCCTGCATTATTCCATATTTTTCATTTCTATCTCGAAAGTTATTTTCGAGAATTTTAGTCCTCCAATTTTAGAGAGATAAAAAATGTGAGTATGTTTGTCGGGTTTTGTAATTTGTAGTGCTACTATTATAAGTTAAGATCGTTGTATTTTGGGAGATGAGTGTTGGAATACCGTTAGCACGTGCGGAGCATTATTGTCTTAATGAGAAAGAGTCGAACTTTTGCCTTGACCATTATCATTTTATTTCGTTCATTTTTGCAAGTCGATATTCTGCCCAAATTATTGCACGATAATATCTTCATTTGCCAATAATCTTAAAACGATAATGGCAAGTAATACTATATATGTCGTATCCTTAACAATGCTCATGAGGAAAAATTGGAAAAAATCAAGAGAGTTGATTTTAAGAGATGACAACAGAAAATGTTATTTTATCTCACAACTCTGAATTTAGCAAAATTCTTGAGTGAAGATACTCAAACTGTTGAGGATGAGGAAACAAATCCTAAAAAACGAACAACATTTCATGAATAGAGTCATAGTGATTTCTTGTGTAGAAACTACATCATCAATTAGCTTAACAACACACTATACATAGTATACAGTTCGATCAAGACAGCTAAATTATTGTGGAAGTCATTTGAAAAGTACAAAACAGCAGATGCCGGATTGAAGAAATTGTTGTAGGAAAATTCTTGGACTTCAAAATGGTAGATTCTAAAACTGTAATAAATCAAGTCCAAGACCTACAAATCATCTTGCACAATATACATGCAGAAGGTACGAAACTCTATGAGTCATTTCAGGTCGCTACGATTATCAAAAAATTACCACCAATGTGGAACGCAAGGAAATGAGACTTGAAAATCTAATTGTAATATTAAGAATTAAGGAAGATAATCGAAATTCTGAAAAGAAATCTGCAAAGCTACAAATGGAGGCCAAAGTCAATTTGGTGGAGCCAAATACTAGCAAGAAAATGAAGCACTCGAGTAATGGCTAGCAAAAGAGCAAGACCAAGAAATTCAAAGGAGATTCCTATAATTGCAGTAAGCCTGGTCACATCACAAAGGGCTGCCGACAGAAAAAAGCAAAACAAAAAGAACCAAGTACACTTGATCGAGAAAGACAAATTGTCTAATGGTGTGTCTAAGCTAATACTCTTAGCTGTTGTATTTGAAACAAACATGGTGGACAATTCAAGGCAATGTTTCATAAATACTGACGCTATTCATCATGTTTGTGCTGATAAGGAGATGTTTTCATCTTACACTTCTATCAATAGAAGACAACTATTCATGGACAACTCAACAACATCAAAAGTCGTTGGTCTAGGTAAAGCAGTGCTGAAGATGACATTGGGGAAATAAGTAATACTCATCAATATGCATGTTCCTGATATTCGTAAAATCTTGGTATTTAGAGCTTTGTTAAGCAAAAATGGGTTTAGGCTAGTATTTGAGTCTAACAAGTTTGTACTCACAAAAAATGGCATGTTTGTGGACTTAGCCAATGGGATATTCAAAATGAATGTAATGCTTGTATTTCATAATTTTGATATTAATAAAAATAAATCTTCTACTTGATTGAGTCTTCTAACTTATGGCATGATAGGTTAGGGCATGTTAATGTTAATACTTTATGTAAATTAGTAAGTTTAGATTTATTACCTTCTATTTCATTTGATCAAAATCATCGGTGTAAAACATGTGTAGATACTAAATTAGCTAAAACACCTTTTCATTCAGTTGAAAATAACTCGAATCCTCTGGAACTAATTAACAATG